TGGCTGTTGGAAGAATTCAATTCCTCACAGTAGTAGGAAGGGAGTCCCTGCTTTACTACCAGTCAATCAAGTCCTTTCTCATATCCTATTGGTTGTCTGCTATTTCCTGCTGTGCGCCTTCCCAACTTGGCAGCTTGCTCCTGTGGGGCCAACAAGAGAATCTCTCATACTATGAGTCTCTCTTTTAGGAAGGGTCCAGTGACATGTTGTTTCAGATAGCATCTCACTGTATTGTGATCTTCCTGCCTCACACTCGCAGCTGGGACTATAGGCACATCACCGTACCTAGCTCCTTTTTAGCCAAGGTCTTGTTATGTTGCCCAGGCCAGCTTCAAGCTCAATTCTCCTATCTCAGCCTCTCTGTGTTGCTGGGATTACAGGAGCATGCTATCATGCTCAGTCTTTAGGTTGGGCTGGGAATTGAACCCAGGACTTTAATCTGGCCCCAGCCTGTAGAGTGCAGCGTCTTAATAGTATATGCCACTGTGGCTGGCCCAAGGATCCAGTGACTTTGCAGAGCTTATCTGATTAGGTCAGACCCACCTAGGATACTGACCCTTTTGGTTAATTCAAGGTGAGCTGCTAGTGGGAGTCTTAATTATGTCTGAAAAATCCTGTTTGCCCGAGGACATGATATAATTGTGGCAGCCACCATTACAATCATAGTTTTGAGTCACAGTCACACTCCAGGGGAGGGGGTTGGTAACAGCCTGGACAGTAGGGAGCAAGAGTTTTGGGGACTACCCTAGAATTCTACCTACTGTGATAACATTTCTTCTCATTTCTTCTTCACAACATGCACCTAGTGTGTCTTTTAAGCTACCAGGGTGGGGATTGAAGCCACAGTCAGTGATGTGGAATCTGGGTCCCTTAACCACTGAGCTATGGGGCCAGCCCTCCTCCAGCATGCTCTAACTTATCTCTAGCTTACTTATATACCTAATACAACATAAATGCTAGGTAAACAGTCATCATACTGCATTATCTAAAATGTATTATATTTTATTGTTGTATTGGTATTTATGTATTTCTTTTTTTTTTAAACTGCTGCTTTGAATAAGATGTTTATTCAAAATAAGCTGTCCAAAATGATGTAAACTTTACAGAATAAACAAATGTAAGGGTTTATGCAGCAGATATCTTTTCTTCTGTGGTAGGTTTCTTTTCTGTTGGCTTCTTTTCAGTTGCTGGCTTTTTGGTAGCTGCAGCCTTTTTTCCCACCAAAGGCTTCTTCTGCTGCTTAGCACCAACTCCCTTTCCTTTCTTCCCTACCACAGGCTTCTTGGCTGCAACCCTCTTCTCATCAGCTCTGGCCTCTAGTGCTGCTGCCACTTTATCCAGCCATTTCTTGTGATTCCTGGCCTGGCGAGGAATGGTGTTCCAGCGCATGGTCTTTGCATACGGGTTAAGTTTCATCATGATCCTCAGGTTTTTCAGTGGATTCTTCTTCAGGACTCTGTGATGGATCTTCTTGCGTGGTGCTCGGAGGGCTCTTTGGATTTCTGGACTTCTCAAGATCCTGCTAAGGTCTGTGTTCATCATCTTGTGCATGGGAAGGTTATAGTTACTCTTGAGGGAAGCAGATTTCCTCCAAGTGCCATACAATTCATCTAACTTCCAGAAGGCACTTTCAGTCCAAATGCATAAATGTCCCACATGCTCACCCGGAGCAAGTTTCAAAATGTTCAGTTTGCGGGAACCAGCAGTTAGTGTAATGGCTATGTCGCTGGACTCCCACGTAGTCGACCGCGGTTCGTGTCCCGGACCTGGTGGCTTAAAACTCACGCCGGGCGTGTGTGCGTGCGTGCCCAAGATCCCGAGAGGAGAATGGAGGAGAAGGGGCGTGACCATCCCCCCTGGGGGGTGATTTCTCGCTTTCTGTCTCTATGTCTCTCTCTGTCTGTCTGGCGAGCGCACGCGCCCTACAGTGAAAATCTCTCCAAAAAAAAAAAAAAAAAAAAAGTTCAGTTTGCTTACATTAAGCAGAGTGATTCCAGGGATGTTTCTGAAGGCGTTGATGATACCATTATCCTCGTTATAGATGATGCAGGGTCCCCTGCGCTGGATATGACAAAGGTTTCGCATTTTGCCCTTGCCAGCTCTCATTCACTGAGAGGCATAGACCTTTTTAATATTATTCCGGGCCTTAAGTTTCTTTAGAAGCAAAACAGCTTCCTTGGTCTTATTATAGCTTTCAACTTTATCTTCAGCCACCAAAGGAAGTTCAGGAGCTTCCTCAATACGATGGCCTTTAGACATGACTAGAGCTGGTAAAGCTGAGGCAGCCAGGGCAGAACAGATGGCATACTGCTTTTGGGTTGTGTTCACTCTGCGGTGCCAACGCTGCCGGGTCTCAGTTGGTGCAAACATCCGACCTCCTCAACACATATTTCCAAAAGCACCCTGGCCAGAACGGTGAGTCCCACTACCTCGAACTCTGAGAATTCGAGTCACAGCTCTCCCAGTACCCCAAGACTCAGCCCTGGTCTGATGGCCTGCTAATTCACTGACAGCCTAGGGCTGTCTGTTATTTTTGCGCAAATTGGTGTGAACAAAGTTCACAATATCTGGTCATATGGGAGCCTTGGATACTGCGGGCAAGGTGACATTTTTGCCAGACGACTCCCCCTTTTCAGAGTACACTGGTATCAGTGACGAGCACATGCCATGGCGGGGAGAGGAGAGGACCACGCTTCTCTTGACCCGGCAGCTCCCACAAGAAAAAGTATTTATATATTTCTTACGGATATTTTCTTTTCTTTTTATTTGTTGCTGCTGTCAAGAGTACTTGGCATGTCATGATCCCTCCCCCCAGCCTTCCAGCCAGCCAAGATCATGGGAGCACCTGGCATAGTTAGATGAACCTAGCATCTGAACCAGACTCCCTCCGTGGCTTTAGTATTGCACAGTGGTGCCCTCCTGGTTACACCACAAATACTTTCAATCTGTGGTTTGCTGAATCTGTGGTACAGAAACAATGGACACAGAAGGATGACTGTATTCGGGAAGAAATCCCCAGAGAAGCCACAGAGGACCAGAATAAAGCCAAGGGACTCTAAGCCTTCTTTTCAGGCTGGGACTGATGGCTGAAGCCAATGACATAGCATCTGTCAGATGTCAGCCACCCTCTGGGTAATAGAGAAGAACAGTATTTCATTAGGCTTCTTCATTCAAACTTGAATGTCTTCATTCTCTTCAGAGATTTTGGCAACCAGATTTCTGATTCTTTAATACATTTTTTTGAGAGACTTTTGCTGTAGAGTGTGTTTGCTTACCAGAAAGACAGAGACAGAGAGACAGAAAATGAGAAATCACCCCCTGGAGGGGATGGTCATGCTGTAGTCCCTTCTCCATTCTCCTCTTGGGGTTTTGGGCAAACACACACACATGCCTGGCGTGAGTTTCAAACTGCCAGTCCAGTACTCAAATTGTGGTCCACCATGTGGGAGTCCAGTGCCTTAACTACTACACCACCTGATGGCCTCTTCATAAAATTTTAAATCAGCTATTTTTTTGCGGGCCGGGGGGGCACATTTTTGCTATAGGGCGCGTGCGCTCACCAAGGGGGGCACATTTTTGCTATAGGGCGTGTGCGCTCACCAGAAAGACAGAGATAGAGAGACAGAAAGTGAGAAATCACCCCCTGGAGGGGATGGTCATGCTGTAGTCCCTTCTCCATTCTCCTCTTGGGGTTTTGGGCAAACACACACACATGCCTGGCGTGAGTTTCAAACTGCCAGTCCAGTACTCAAATTGTGGTCCACCATGTGGGAGTCCAGTGCCTTAACTACTACACCACCTGATGGCCTCTTCATAAAATTTTAAATCAGCTATTTTTAATGATGACTGGTAGAAGGAAGATAAATCATCATTCACTAGGGAAGCACTTTAGGGCAAAAGTTACCCATTGACTCCCTCTGATAGTATTTCAAGTAGGGACCTGAGTTAAGAGAAGAAAGAGGGGCATCAGCAGATGGTGTAATGGTTATGTCGCTGGACTTCCACGTAGTTGATCACAGTTCAAGTCCTGGACCTGGTGGCTTAAACTCACGCCTGGTGAAGATCCCAAGAGGACAATGGAAGAGAAGGGATTGTGGCGTGGCCATCCTCCCTGGGGGGTGATTTCTCGTGTTCTGTCTCTCTGTCTCTCTCAGTCTTTCTGGTGAGCACACACGTGCTATAGCAAAAATCTCTCTCTCTAATAAAAGAAAAGAAGAAGAAAGAGGGCTGGCTCTGTGGCTCAGTGGTTATACACTGCTCAAGAGAAGCCAACCCCATCTGACCACCACGGTTTGAATTCCCAGCCTGTCAGCCTGAAACGTGCCAGGCATGTGCATGAGTGCCCAGGATCTCCTGGAGTGAAGAACTGGAAGATGGGGCCTCACAACGTGACTAGACCCAGAAGTTGGCTCTCATCTCTCTCTTTCTCTTACTTTCACTCTCAGTGCACATGCCCTATCATGAATAAAGGAAAAAAATTCTTTAAAAAAAGATTTCTGTACCTGAGGCATAAGGAGTGTGCACTTCATATTTAATATCGTAAATTATGCACTACATTAAAGTTTTGATTCATTTCCTCATTTATTAGCTTAATGAATATACATTTTCAAAGTAAAATTTGATATTATGAGTAATACAGAAGTAGTGAGGGTGAGACAGACTTTCATACCCAGGTTAAATGAGAATACCTTCTTTATCATAACTTAGAGCACTATACTTTTATAGTGATTGTGCTAAATACCATGCTTCCTATATTTGCACAAAATGCTGACGAGGATGGTTTATTAAAGAGGAAAAATGTTTTGTGTTTAGCTGAAAGTAGCAATTTAGGGGGAAAAATAGGAAACTTAGTGATTGAGGGAAGGAGTTGATTTCTTTTTAAAAACATATATAATTTCATTTTTCATTATTACTATTATTTTTAAATTTGCTAAAGAGCATGACGTTCACCAGAGAGAGACAGAGAGTAGGCAAGAAGAGAGGGAAAGTGAGAAAGCAAGCCACGAGGTTAAGGATTTGAACTGTGGGGCCATGTGGGTGTCCAGCATCCTAATCATCACACCACCTGCTGGCCCCAGAAGGAGTTGATTTCATGCTTCTATGAATTTATAAATGAACCAACTAAAAATGAAAAAATGGTTATAAAGATTTTTCCCAGTAAAAAGGAATATGAACTAGTGTCATCAAGAGCTTAGAATCTGGGACCAGCAGATGGTGTAATGGTTACGTTGCTGGACTCCCATGTAGTCAACCATGGTTTGACTCCCAGACCCAGTGGGATAAAACTCACACCAGTACCTGTGTGTGTGTGTCTGAGATTCCAAGAAGAGATAGAGGAGAAGAGATTGCTGCATGGCCATTTCTCTGGAGGGTGATTTCTCAATTTCTGTCTCTCTGTCTCTCTGGCGAGTACATGTGGCCTATTTAAAAAAATTTCTCTAAACAAAACAGAAAAAAAGAACTTAGAAACTAGTTTTGGTTATATATATATATATATATATATATAGATAGATAGATAGATAGATAGATAGATAGATAGATAGTCTTCTGAAAGTCATGATGCATTTTTGCATGGAAAAATAGGTCATGACTTTTCTGATGACCCAATATATACATGCGCATATGGTATATATGAGATGATAAAATATGTGCCATTTTTTATTCTAATAGGTGTCCAGAAGTCTAAAACAAACTGTAAATAATACTCCTACCTCACAGTGAAACCATGAAAAACAAAATTTGTCAATAAGCTTTACAAGCAAAGGAGAACATGCTCAGCATTGATTGTCTATACTATTACCTAACACGCATGTTGAAAATTCAGTTGCTTGCTGACATAACGTCTTCAAATTAACCATAGGGAATTCCTTCCTGGGAGGATTAAACATAATGTGAATAGGTCCCACGTCACTAGAATAGTCACATTTGGTCCTTTCAGGAGCTGTGGCTTCTTTGAACATTGTTGAAAATCAAGTTAGTTAGTTCATGGTAGCCACAGCCCTGTCAGACTGAGGCCTACTGCTGCCACCTCTTGCCTAAATAGAATTCCATTTCATCTGGGGCATAAACACCTTCAATTTTAAGAAGAGCTGTGTGCTCCCTTTCGTTCCTAAGACCCCACTTATAGCTTGAAAAAATGGCCTTGGACCAAGCCTTCCAGACATAGTTGCCTTTTAGCAGTCCTGTGTCCAGCAGGCCTCAGTTATTTGTTCCCAAAGTTCAACAGTAGGACCATTACTACTATGTAGTGATTTTTAGCTTTTCAGGCAATTAGTCTGGTGAATTCAGTTCTAGCTTCTACTTTAAACTGTACAAATTCTGAAAATTCTCGCACTTGCTGTGGTAATTCCAATTTGTTGTTATTGTTGTTGTTGGAGAGGGTTTTGCTATAAGGTGCATGTGTTCGCCAGAAAGACAGAGAGACAGAAAGTGAGAAATCACCCCGCAAGTGGGGATGGCCATGCTGCAATCCCTTCTCCTCCATTCTCCTCTCGGGATCTTGGGCACGCACACACAGGTACCCAGCATGAGTTTAAGCCACCGGGTTTGGGACTTGAACTGTGGTCGACTACATGGAAGTTCAGCAACATAGCTATTACACCAACTGCTGGTCCCAGTAATTCTAGTTTTGTAGATTAGGCAGCAGAGTTTGATTTTTATTAAGATTGATTTCTTAGATTTTGGGGATTATTTTGGACTAATCTGGGCCTGTAATACCATTTAAAAGTGTAATACTCATCTTGTTTCATTGAACTTCACTTTACTGCATGCTAGAGATACTGCATTTTTAAAAAATTGAACTTTAGTGGCAACACTGTGTCGAGCCTATTGGTGTCATCTTCCCATTAGTGTGTGCACACTTTGTGTCTCTGTGCCACATTTTTATATTCTTGTATTTTTTCTTATGATTGTTTAAGTTTTTGCCATAGGGAGTATGCACTCACTGAAGAGAGACAGAGAGAGGGATTTGGGGCATACATACATCCATACGTGGTGTGATGTTCGTGTCACTGGGTCTGGAACTCACAGGCAGCCATGTGGGAGTTCAGCACCTTAACTGCTGGTCCCTTGTAATATTTTTAACTTTTTCACAATTACTATATCTGTTATGGTGATCTATAATCAGTAATATATGCTTTTTAATTGCCAGAGGTTGTGTGTGTGTGTACTTGCCAGAGAAGGCACCCCTCAAAAGACATGGTCACACCACAATCTCTTCTCTTCCATTTCTCCATCCTGTCAGAATTTTGGGCACACATACAGATGTGCCTGGTGTGTTTTTCCAAGCCTATATGACTGGGATTCGAACCGGGCTCAGCCATGTGGGATCCAGTTGCCTTAACCATTAGGCAATGGGGCTAACCCTGACTGGTAATCTTTGATGTCACTTTTATCATATTTTGGGGATACTGAACCATGCCCATATAAGATAGCAAACTTCATAAATAAATGTCATATATTTTCTGACTGCTCCAGCTGGCTGTTCCCTGTCTCTCTCTTCCTCTCCTCAGGCCTCTCTGTTTCCTGACAACAACAATATTGAAATTAGGCCAGTTAATAACCCTACAGTGGTCTCTAAGTGTTCCAGTTAAGGAAGAGTTGCACCTCTCTTGCTTTAAACTGATAGCTAGAAATTGTGAAGCTTAGTGAGAAAGACCTGTTGAAAGGTAAGATGGGGTTGATTCCATGGCCTAGTGTTTGGGGGAGTCAGTTCCCACATGGCCAACTGTGGTTTGAGTCCTGACTCTGATGGGTTTGATTGTACTGGGTGCATGTGTGCATGTCCATGGTCCCAACAGTATGGAGAAAGGAAGGAGGTAGGGTTGCAGTATGAGCACACCCCATTGGGGGACACTTTCCCTCTGTCCCTTTTTCTGTCTCTTTGTCTCTCTGGTGAGTACACATGTGCTCTGGCAATTACACACACACATACACAAGAAAGACAAGATAGGCTGAAAGCTAGGGCTATTCTACCAAGCAGTCACATTTCGGAATTCTCAAAGGAAATTAAAAGTGAACAGTGAGAGACCAGCAGGTGGCATAGGTTAAAGTGCTGGACTCCCATGACTGACCATGGTTTGAGTCCCAGACCCAGCAGCTTGAAACTCATGGCAGGCACATGTGTGTATATGCCCACAATTTTGAGAGGAGAATAGAGGAGAAAGGATTGTGGTGTGACCATCCCCTTTGGTGGGTGATTTCTCACTTTCTTTCTCTCTCTCTCTGTCTCTCTGGCGAGCACATGTGTGCTGTAACTAAAATTTCTAAAGAAAAAAAGTAAACAGTGAATACATGAATGATAAGTTGAAATGACCTTATTGCTGAAGTGGAGAAAATTTTAATAGTCTGTACAGAAGAGCAAGCTAGTCATAACATTTTCTTAGGCCAAAGCCTAATCCAGAGCAAACCTCTAACTCTTCAATTTTATAAAAGTTAAGAGAGGTAAGGAAGCTGCAAAGAGTTTTAGCAGAGGTTGGTTCATGAGGGTTAAGGAAAAAAGCCATCTCTATAAGATAAAAGTGCAAGATGAAGCAGCGAGTGGTGATGTAGAAGCTGCAGCAAGTTATCCAAAAGATCTAGCTAAGATAATGGATGAGAGTGGCTACACTAAGCAAAATATTTTCAATGAAGACAAACTAGCCTTCTAAGGGAAGAAAATGCCATCCAGGACTTTTGTAGCTAGAGAGGAGAAGCCAGTGCCAGGCTTCAAAACTTCAAAAAACAGGTCGGCTCTCCTGTGAAGGACTAATGCAGCTGGTGACTTGAAGTTGAAGTCAGTGTTTTTACCATTCTGAAAACCTGAGGGCCCTTAAGAATTATGCTAAATCCACTCTGCACAAGCTGTAGGTGGGACAAAGCCTGGATGACAGCACATCTGTTTACAGCATGGTTTACTGAGTATCTTAAGCCAACTATTGAGACACACTGCTTAGAAAAAAAATTCTTTTCAAAATAAGGATTTATAATCTACCTGGTCACCCAAGAACTCTGACGGAGATATGCAAGGAGATTAACATTGTTTTCATGCCACTGCAATGCGCATTCTGCAGCCCATGAATCAGGAATAATTTTGACTTTTGAGTCTTACCGAAGAAATGCTGTGAGGCTATAGCTGCTATAGATTGTGATTCCTCTGTTAGATTCAAAGTTCATTGAAATTGAGTCGTTTCTGGAAAGGATTCACCTTCTAGATGCTCTTAAAAACTTTTGTGATTTGTGGGAAGAGGTCTAAATATCAACATTAACAGGAGTTTGGGAAAAGTTGACTCCAACCCTCATGGATGACTCTAGGGGTTTGAGACTTGGAAGGAAATAATCAGAAGTAGAGCCTAAATACGACTGAATCGGTATGATCTCATGATGTGAACACATGAGGAATTGCTTCTCATGGATGAGCAAAAAAAGTGGTTTCCTGAGATGGGATCTATTCCTGGTGAAGTTATGAGTGTTGTTGAAGTGAAAACAGAATTTAGACTATTAATAAGCTTCGTTGCTAAAGCAATGACATAATTTGTGAGAACTGACTTTTGAAAGTTCTACTGTGGATAAAGTGCTATCAAGCAGCATCGTATGCTACAAAGAAATCTGGGAAAGGAAGAATCAATTGATGAAGCAAACTTCATTGTCGATCTTATTTGAAGAAATTTCCTCAGCCACCTCAGCCTTCAGCAACGCCAACCCTGACCAACCAACAGTCATCAGCATTGAGGTGAGACCTCAACCAGCAAAAACACGACAATGCGCCGAAGACACAGGTGATTGTTAGCATTTTCAAGCAATAAAATATTTAAAATAATTAAGGTGTGTACTTTTTTTATTCATAAAGCTATTGTACACTTAGTGGACTGTAGTATAGTGTAAACATAACATGATATGCGCTGGGAAACAAAAAAAGTGTGCAGCACACTTTATAACAGTATCTACTATATTGCAGTGATCTGGAATCAAACCTGCACCATTTTCTAAATTCGCTCGTACTATTTAAAAACAGCACTTCGGTATATGAAAAACAATATGAAATAGGCAGCTTCATCATAAAATTCTATTCCGTATTCTAACCTTTTGTCAAGGTCTCTCTATTTTACATATTTGTGGTGAAAAGGTATCCTTAGCAACCGAGATCATTGACTTTCTATATAAAAAGAAGACTCTAGACCATTCTAACATCTAAAGATTCAGCTGCTTGACATGGGGTTTGCTTTTTCTTCCCAGCGATAATAAGCACACAGATGGCAAGACCTGACAGCCAAAGCACACGGGCCACTGCATTCGTATGAAAAGAGGGATGTGCTTTCCGCCACGTGCTCGGTGGTCTCCCCTTCCCAGCCCTCTCTTACCTTTCAACAGTCTCTTTCAGCAGGGCTGCCCAACAAAAGGAAATCTGGCACTACAAGGGGAAAATAAAAACGCTCCTGGAGCACTTTAAAAATTCAGAATGAAAATAGTGATAATGAGTTCTACCTGAAAGCAAAATACGTCTATTCTTACCAATCATCACAATTGAGTATAAGTGATAATGACAAAAATAATGACAATGAGAAAAGAATAATTAGCTTCTAAAATGACAAGAGTTGGGCATACTTGGGAAATAATAACATGGAGGTTGTTTTCTAATTTTTATTCTGAAGTTAATAATTTTTTTCAATTAAAGGGAGTTTCTCTGCCTTCATGGTGGTTCTTGTTTCATAAACTAAGTAGGAGAAATTTTCAGAAAGAGGCTATTATTTTCTGAATTCCTTTGAGATATTAAGTACCCTTCTTTTTTTCCTAAAGGAAACCGCAGCTAATATTTCTCTTCGAAGCCACTAAAGAAACATGCAGCATATACTACATGCAGCTCAACACTAGTTAATGAATAATGGGTCCAACCTATCTACTAATTTTTTAAGGAAGAAAAGTAGGAGAGGGGAATCAGTGATAACAATCAAAAGCTTTTCAATTTTGGCAGCTATATTTTGAGAAGCCATTTCCCAGGTGTGTTCTGAATCCCTTTAGTGTCTGTGTAACCACAGAAAGTGTTCTTAGGCTTAGCCACTCACACTTATACTAGAAACCTCTGCACTGACAAGTTGGTTAAGATTTTTTTTCTCTCACATTTTGACTGACTGACCATTAAGTAGCATTTACAATTCAGGTGATGCTTGTATTTCTGACTTTGCAGGTACAGACCAGCAGCCTGGGGGAGCCCATTACAAACAAGACTATTCAAGCTCACAGGGAACACTGCTCCATCATGAAATGTAGAAATAAAGGATAGCCCAGGCTGTGTGAAGGAGTTTCTCAGACCAGATCTTCTCTAGTAGGATTCAGAGCCAGTTATATAAGATTTCAGTTTCTGAAAACCAAGGCAACTTTCTTTTCAGGCTGTGCGAAGGAGTTTCTCAGACCAGATCTTCTTCTCTAGTAGGATTCAGAGCCAGTTATATAAGATTTCAGTTTCTGAAAACCAAGGCAACTTTCTTTTCTTTTTGAGAGAGATTTTTCCTGTTGGGCACATGTGCTCTCTGGAGAGACAAAGAAAAACAGAGACAGAAAGCGAGAAATTATCCCCAGAGGGGATGGCCACACCACAATCCCTTCTCCTCCATTCTCCTCTTGGGCATGCATGCACATGTGCTCCTCGTGAGTTTTAGGTTGCTGAGTCAGGGACTCAAACCTCCGTTGACTAAAGGAAGTCCAGCGATGTAACCATTATGCCATCTGCTAGTCCTGTGGGTGACTTCAATACAAGGCATCTGGGCATAATTATTTGTTGGCAATCAACTCAAAGGGGCAATCATCTGATTGCAACACTGTTAGCAGCCTCAGTTTTTGCTTTTTAACCCTATACACTACTGTTTGGTTTCTTATAATGAGTTCCCCTTAAGACACTATCTTAAGTATTGGGTTGTTGAAAAAATTGTGACGTATTTTTTCTGTTTTTCTGTGCAAGAACATGTCTTGACTTTTCCCAATATTCTATTCTTTTTTTCTGCTGAAGGTACCAAATTGAGTCTTATATTAAGTACAAGGTCGGTACAAGCCATGTTTATGGTTTTTCTCCCTGGGAAATCACCCTGTCGAAAATGACACTCCTCTGGGCTGGTTTATGACTTCATGATTAAGGGAATTGGATCCCACATGGCTGATCATGGTTTGAATCCTGGCCTTTTCAGCTCAGAAAACACTGTGTATGCCTCAAGTCCTGACAGGATGGAGAAAGAGAACAGATCATGGCATGGCCACACCCCATTGGGGGTGCTTTCTCTCCCTTCTGTCTTCCTCTTTGTCTCTCTAGGTCTCTCTGTCTCTCATGATTAAACTATCTTCTGGCAATTCAAAACAAACAAACAAAAAACCCAGAGAGAATGTCATCTTTCTTCTGCATGTACTAGTAGAATGTGCATGAACTTCTCAGAAGAGAAAACGTGTGAAGCAAAGAAGTTTAGTTACTGAGTAGGGATCTAGTAAGACTACTTCAGGCTTGATCTCTCAACAATCGTTCCTTATGGGCGAGGAAAGGCTCTTTTTAAAAACATCATTTTGCTTAACATCAAAAGAACTTGAGCCCAAATAAACACATAGCACAAGGACAAGTGTTTTCACATTCAGGTCACATACCATGAACAGCCAAACAAAACTAAAAAAAAAAAAAAAAAAAGAGACCAGATTTTCTGTTTTTTTTTTT